CTCACCTGAGCAGGGCAGAGATGCTGAACTGTGATATGGAAGCTCCTTTCCCTTGGCAAGGGAAGATTTAGGGGGAATGTTTCTTTGGAACACTCACACCTTAGACGCTGTGCAGGCTGTGCCTGTTGCAAGAGCTGCAAACCAGGTCATCCTGTGTTCCTGCCCACCAAAATCACAGACACAATGATCATCTGGGTAAGTGTCAGGCACCACTCACCTGCACCTTGCAGAGGGACTCAGCAGGAAGAGCTGCTGAATCCAAGTGGGATTGTGCAGCTCACATCTACCTGAGGAGAGAGAAACCAGGCCCAAGAGCAGAAGGAATATAACTGGTAATTGGATGGACCCCTCTCATTTGTTTAGTGGAGAGCTGGGAGGGGACTCAAAACACCAAGCTGGGACTGGGAAAGGCTTGTTGGAATACAACAGAAAAGAAAACTTTGTGTTCTATCTTCCTTTCCACTTTGGCCTTTAAGGGGTGATGGTAGAAATAATACCCAGATCATGCTTGCTGTAGAAATGACAGGATTCTGGGATTTTACACCCTTGCAATGCATTTTCTGAGAAGCAGCTTTCAGAGACAGACCTGGATTTGAAGCACAGCATATTCTGAACACTCCTGAAAAAAGAAAACAAGGCCAGTGCATTTGCCAAGGCATCCAAGCAGTTCTCAGCAACCCTGTGTGAGCTTTGCAGACTGACCCAGCATGAAAGTGCCTGATGCAAAGCAAGTAAATATATTGAAAAAAAATTTAAAAGCATGGAAGGAAACAAAGGAGCAGACAATTTGCCCAGACACTTGGAGAAATACACTCCCTTCTGACCTTCTTTGTATTCCAGGGAGCAATTCCTGAGCTGTATTCAGAGACAGAGACAGAGTTGCCAGGCCCAGAATTCCGGCAATTACTCAGTGGAAATGGAAACAGCACCACAGATGCCAAAGGTATGATGCAAGTTTCATTGTCCCTGGAAGAATGGGAGTCCAGTATGGGTTTGGGGCTGTTTGCTTGGAATTTAAAATCAGTTGTAGTTCCACGTAATTAAATATTTAAGTCAGGGAATAAGATTATTTTTATTAAGGGAGCTTCTCCTCACTCCCTGGCTGATGTTAGTCTGAAGGGCTATTTTGGACCCTGAACAAGGAATTTGAGTTTATCATGCATAGAAGCAGCTGAGAAACAGGAAGCACATAGGACAAGGGGGAATGGCTTTAAACTGCCAGAGGGCAGGGTTAGGTGGGATACTGGGGATAAATCCTTTCCTGTGAGGGTAGGCAGGCCCTGGCACAGAGTGCCCAGAGAAGCTGTGCCTGCCCCTGGATCCCTGGAATTGTCCCAGGCCAGGCTGGACAGGGCTTGGAGCAACCTGGGACAGTGGGAGATGTCTCTGCCATGGCAGGGGGTGACACTGAATGAGTCTTAAGGTCCCTTTCAACCCAAACCAATCTGTAATTTTATTCTTTAATTCTGTAAAATCTGAACAATCCTCTGCAGAGCTAAGGAACACTCATAGGAGTTTTGATGTTCATAAAGCATAAAACTGGAATTGTAAACCACTCAGGAAACAGTCAAACACCGGAAAGGAAAAATAATATTGTGCTCTCCTGATATCTGAAAGGTTAATAGTTACCAGAGAACCATTTGGAAGACTGGAAAACAGAGGAAGGGTAGGTCAGATCTGGAAGGAAAATGGTAACATTCACCCCCTCCCTTTACCCAAATACATTTTTAAATATTTTAATTCTCAAGTCAGAATGATATTTGTGGGAATAATAACTCAGGCTTTCTTTTAGTAATTGAAATGAAACAGCATTTGCTCTAGCAAGGACAGTTTCTTATCCACCTGTCACTACATTCCATGTGTTTAGCAGCATCTGAACACCTAGTGCTACAGTTGGATTACACTTGGCTGAAAAGTTTCCTAGCATGGTCTGCAACCAGAAAATAACCAAAACCAAATAGTCTTTGCCTCAGGATCTATATAATTTAAATCTAACTGCAAAGAAATTGCCAGACTTGAGGCCTATTACAAATATCCACATGCTTGTTTCATCTACCTCAGGGGGAAAGGACACTTTGATAACAGAAGGGTCTTTAATATAAAAAGCAATAAAATCCATGGATTTTGAAGCTGGACATGTTCCAGATGGAAATGTCACTCTTCCCAGCAAACAGGACTAACTACAGCAGCTCATGGAATAATACTGAATTGTCTAATAAGCAAATGCCTCCTTCACAACCTGTTAATCCTACTGATAAAAATTCAATGCCTCTCTTCTTCCCTTAACGATATTGATTTGTTCCAAATAGGCTGCGAAATGAGAACACTGGCCACCTTTGTGCTTCTCCCAGAGATGCCTTGATGAGCCGGGAGCCTCGCAATTAGAGCTGCTGTGCTAATGAGCCCTGAGCGCGGGGATGAGGGACGCGCCGGCACGGCCGAGCCGCCAGGGGGCGCTGCCGCCCGCGGCACGGCCCGGCCGTGAGGGCCCGAGCGGGACCCGCGGAGCCGTCATGGAGCCGGGGAATGGCCTGGGAGCCGCAGGGATCATCAACCCCTGCCCTGCACAGACAGCCCCAAATCCCACCCTGTGCATGCCTGGAAGCGCTGTCCGAACGCCCCTGGAGCTCTGGCAGCCTCGGGGCCGTGCCCATTCCCTGGGGAGCCTGGGCAGTGCCCAGCACCCTCTGGGGGAAGAACCTTTCCCTGATCTCCACCCTGACCTGCCCTCACACCAGGGCAGGTATGAAGGCAGGTCAGGGTGGAGATCAGGGAAAGGTCCAGCCCTTCCTCGAGTCCTGTCCCTACTCACAGAGGTCGGAGCTGTCCCTCCGCTGCCCCTCGGGAGGAGCTGCAGCCCCCGATGAGCTCTGGCCTCAGACTCTTCATGTTGAACAAACCAAGCGCCCTCAGCCGCTCCTCGTGTGGCCCCTCAAGACCCTTCGCCACCCTCGTGTCCCTCCTTTGGACAGCTCCAACAACTTTCTATCCCTCTCATTTTGTGACACCCAAAAGTGACCCCAGCATTGGAGGAGAGGCTGCTCCATCCCAGAGCAGAGCAGGGCAATCCCTCCCTCACGCAGCCTGGATGTGTGCCGGGTGCCCACAGGACAGGAATGTCCCTCCTGGTTCAGGGCACACGGACTCAGATCCAGCTTGCCATCACCCGCTGCCTCTCCATGGCACTGCTTTCCAGAGCCTCATTCCCCAGTCTGCCCTTACATCCAGGGCTACCAGCTCCTGCAGCTCTTCAGGCGCAGCATTCAGCACTTGCCCTTGTTAAACTCCACATGGTTGGTGATTGCCCAGCCCTCACATTTATCAAGATCTTTCTGCCTCCGAGGGAGTCAACAGCTCTTCCCAGTTTTGTGTTGTCAGCAAAATTTCTCAGTATCGCTTTGAGTCCTGATCCGAGTAATTTATGAAGACACTGCAGCGTACTGGCCCTAAAACCAAGCCCAGCAGAGCCCCACCAGTGACTTTTTGCCAACCCTGTGCCCCTGGGCACCCAACCCTGCCTGAACCCCCCTGGGCACCCAAACCTGTGTTTTTTCCCCTGGGCAGTGCTGGAGGAAGATGTGAGGTGCCTCCGTGAGATGCTGAGAACCACGTGCTGAAAAGCAGCACCTTGGGATTAATTCATTGCAAGATTTATGTGGGAAGGAGACCTACTACTTATGAGGGCTGAATGCTCCATTCCTACACTTTGAGAGAAAATTAACATGAAAATCACTAGAGAAATAGAGAAACCTAATAAAAGACTTTTTAAAAAACTATTTATTTTTGTTGCCATCACAATCCAAGGCAAAACTGCTCCCTCATTTTTCCTCTGCTTCAAATGTATCAGAGGATAATGAAGACTTTTGCTACTGTTTGATGCATGTCATTGTCTTGAAGTTATTTTGATTATTGAAATGCATTCATGCTTTTGTTATTTTAGAAGGAATACATTGGACCTGGTCGGTCAACACCATCCAGAAGAGCATCATGGAAGCAAAAAAAAAAAAATTACTCTGAGTTAAGGTCAACACCATCCAGAAGAGCATCATAAAAGGGAAATTCTGGGTTTTACTCTGAGTTATAATGTAGATTCAATGTTTCTTTTAAAAAACCAAAGAACTAAACCAATAAAGTGTATTGCATTGCAATTCATTGCAAATGGAATAAGATATTCTTAATTAAACTCTGTCATTGCAATTCAAATAAACTGTTTGGGATTATTTTTCCAAAATAGGGACAGACTTTAATGCAACTGAAAATGCAGAGCAAAGTGAGTGAAAAAGGAAACCACCTCCAACATCCTTTGGTATTATTGCGTCATTAGAGGAGTGTAATTTGAAATAACAACACCAAACATCTTTCCCCACACATTTTTGCATGGTTTCCATACACACCTCAGGGAAAATTTATTCAAAACTTGAAAATAATCTGAAAAGGTAGAACTCTACAGTTATGACTAGAGCACAAACTAAAATAAATAGGAAATAAGTAGGTAATTCGTTAAATAAGGAGAGGAAATGTTTAAGGTAGAAACCCCTTTTCCAGAGACATAACCTTACCTCATGCTCCCCTGTCAAAACCCCACAGGCAACTTTGGACTCAAGAGTTCCTGGAGACCTCGAAGGAGCAGCTGAAAAAAATCATAAGATGAGAAAGCTTTAAGATTTTGACAGAGTCAGCAGAGTCAGCATTTTGGGTCAAATTAGAGAACAAATAAATGATTGGAAATGAACTTGAGGGGCTCTTTAGCTACGGCTATGAACCAAGACAAGTTTAACAACATCACATTCTTGATCCTGCCTGTAATTTTGTGGGCAGCATCTGCAAGACGTGAGCGTCTTTCAGAGACACCCGGGACGCCCAGAGGGATTTCACCGAGCGCTCGGGGTGCCCGGCGCCGCCCGTGCCCCGCCCGGGCAGCCGCGGCCGCGGGAACCCCCGGGCACAGCGCCGGGCACAAAGTCCGCCCCGGGGCGGGCCCAGGTCGGCCCCGGATCCGCCCGGGCAGCGCCGGCCCCGCCCGGCCCCGCACCTGCCCCCGGGGCCGCCCCGCCGGAGTCGGGCCGAGCCGCCGCGGGAGCTGCTGCCGGAGCGCCCGCCATGGGCGTGGGCTATGGGGGGATGCGCTGCGTCAAGATCCTGCTCTTCATCTTCAACCTGACCTTCTGGGTGAGCGCCGGGCGGAGCGGGGCCGGGCGGGGCCGGGCACCTGCTGCGGGTGCCGGGGGTGCCGGGGGGTGGCACGGCGCGGCTCCCTCCGGGCAGCGCTGCGGGATCGGCTGCCCGAGCTGAGGCTGCGGGAGCGCCCGGGCAGCGCTCCCGGCTTCTGCTCGCTCCCGCAGCCTGGGAAAGCACCGGCTCGGTGTAAGATGACATTGCTGAGCAGAGACAGCATGTGTCTAAACTGATCATTTAAAGTGGCGATCATTTCGCCGGCAACCACGCGGCTGCAGGAGGAGGCTGGCAGAGGTTCCACCAGTACAGTGCAGTTAGCAGAACATTTCACAGCATCACGGTGCTTTTTACTAATGTCATTTCTAATAGGGAGCCAACAGCTGCTACAAGATCATCCTAAGACAAAGTCCTCGCATCACCCCAAGAGATTTAGGGAATGCTGTGTCCATTCTCCTCAATTGCACCTTTTCAATAGTCTCACAGTTCCATGCTGTGAATTCACGCTTTCTCTTCTCTCACTTTCCCTCATGCACTGTTCTCCCTTCAGCTTTCCAGAAGACAATCAGCAATGTCATCTTCTTAAATGTCTTTTTCTTTCCCTCTGATTCACTGGGGTCTTTTTAAAAGAAGCCACAAAGTCATCCTGTTCAGCCTCTCTGGACCAAGCAGTTTTGGGCTTTTGTCTCCTTTATGCTTGAAGCACAGTTAAACCAAAGGCTGTTCCCTCGTGGTGACAGCACTGCGTGCTCCGGGGACACAGTGCTGCTGTGCTCGAGCTGGAGGGGCAGTGTGATGCTGCCCAGCTGCAGCTGCAAGGCAGCAGAAGGACAAAGCTTTGTGTTATTTGTTTCTCAAAAGTGACAAGTACTGTGTTTTGTTATCTGCCTTTTCGCTGAGATGGAAGGAACCATCTCCTCAGCTGGCTGGGATATTCATCCCGAACTGCCAGGGGCACTCCACAGCCTGGAGAGGCCCTGGCAACCCAAGGCTGCCAGCAGGGAGGTCCCCGTGCTGTGACAGGGTGGCAGGGGACCCTCACCCTCTGGTAGGACACATCTGTGAGGAAAGCCATGGTCCCGAGGTCTCCAGCTGTACAACTGCCTGCTCTCTTGGCTTGTGGAGCTGTGCCAATGGAGCAAGTGCCAGAGAATGCAGGACAGGTTAGGGGAGCACTGTGCCAGGCTGGCACCCACATGGGAAGCAGCACGTGTTTGTGAGCCTTGTCCAGGTTGTGCAGGTGCCACAGGCTGAGGCTCTGGGCCTGGACAGCAGCAGGACACTGTGCCTATTCCTGAGGGATGCTGGAGCTGCCTGCAGGACACACAGCTCAGCTCCTGAGGAGGGATGCTGGAGTTCTCTGCCAGGTCACACAGCACTGCCTGGCAGGTTGATGATCTGTCTGGCATGTGGTGAAGCTGAGACCTCTGACTGTAGATCTTTCCCCTTAAACAACATGCTGTGACACTTCTTTGTGACCTGGGTTTGTTCACATTAAAGGGAATTTTTCCTTGCACTTGACAGCATCTATCACTGGTTTGTAATTTCTGTGATCCAAGATATCTACCCAGTAACAACCCTTGTACCTCCTAGTTTTGGTGGGGGTCCCCTGCCCCACTCCATTTCTCATGAGAATTCAGGCCCAATTTTGATGATTAAATGACTGACAAGGTTTGAGAGTCTGTAGTAAGTTCAGATGCACCACTACACTGAAGAGTGAAAGAAAGAAGAACATTGCACTGTAATAGGAATTTGTTGTTATCAGACCCTGGCAAGTGCTGCATGAATTTTCTGACAGTGCAATTCTGAGCTGTGGGATTTCAAGAAAGCACAAGGTGCCAAGACACTGCTGTGATTCTTTCCAGCTGTTTGTCACTGCAGCCCTGACTGCTCTGTTTGTGTTGCAGCTGGCAGGACTGGCTGTCATTGCCTTCGGGCTGTGGCTGCGCTTTGGTGGGCCCATGGCAGAGTTTGCTACAGACAAAAAGTCCCCGGAACTTTTCTTCATGGGTAAGTGACAGTGCTGGGAGGGCAGCAGCCTCCAGCCCGGGTTGCATCCTGGGGCAGGTGACACGCCTTGGTCAACAGTTTCTGGGCTGATCTACACAAAACTGGACATTCTGGTGCTGTGTGCCATGTGTGTGATGGCTTTTGACCTTTCTCTGCTTGACAGCCACTTCCTTAGACCTAACTAATCTCTTCTCCTGGATTTGATCCAGTCCCCAGATATGCTAAGTGAATTGTGCTAATACTCTCAGAATAGAAGGTGAGACAGGTTGGAGACTTGTGGGGCTCACCAATATATCCCTCCAGAGTTTTCTGTGCAGCTGCCAGGCAACAAAACAAGTGTGCTTTCAGAATGTTCCCAGAACCAGGACAGCAGCAAAATTCTGCTCAGCAGTTCTCCCTGTGGAGGCCTCAGTGGGACCAAAGTGCCAAAGCAAATCCTTCCACAGCTGAAAAGTGGTACTGCCTGGTGTTCAGTCATCTCAGGAGCTGTTTGTCCAACCCGGGCAGGATCAGCTAGTTCTTGTGCCTACAAAACTGGTATTAGTCACATCTAATTTTAGCATTTAAGATAACTTTTGTCTCCCTGGGATTTCCAGGTGGGTTTGTGGGACCTGTGCTTCATAGTTATAGACACCCTTAAATAGCTGCTGTCTGGGACTGCCAGCAACTGCAGTTCTCTGTCCCTGGCAACTGCAACATACCTTTACACCAGAAAGGTTGGATTTTTTTCTGTTTAATACATCACCCCTAGAGATGGACCCAATAAAATCCCATTGGTGCAAACATTTTTGTCATCTAGAAATGCCAAGTGTGAGTGAATACCCAGTCCTGCCCTGGCCATCAGGCCACTCTGACAGGGTGGAAGGACTGGGAGCTGACCAGAGGTGCCTCCAGCAGTTACCTGTCGCTCCAAGATTGTGCAGTTACCTTAAATACCCCAATGCTCTCAGTGGAGGCTTTGACTCAGATCCACCACAGCCCCAGGCCCAGGTTTCTTTAACATCTGCAGCCAGGCTAGAGGCACAGAACTGGCTGTGCAGCAGTGGGAATGGATGGTGAGAATGTTATGTCCAGCAGTGTTTCCCTGGGATTTTGTGAGGCTGAATAAAAGAGTAAAACCATTCAGATGAAAATGTTGTTTGGGACCTGAGGGTAATTGTAAAACACGTTGCAGCACCTCCACTGACACAGAGAGCCAGGAAGTATGATTTACTTTTTCTCTTACATCTGAGCTGCTGTGACAGCAGCATATTAGATCACCAACTTCATTTCCAGCTCCACTTTGTACCTGCTGAATTCCCTGTGCTGTAGGTTGGAATGCTTCCCAGCCTGATCCACTTATGTTTGTCCCAGGAGAGCAAACAAGACAAAAGGATGTTCTGGCCTTCAAAATCAAGTGCTGCTGGAAGGCAGAAAGTGCTACATCCTGTGCTGTGACTAAGCACCACAGCTCCAGTGCAGCTTGGAACACACGGTGTAAACAAGATATTCTTTGGTGCATGTGTATTTAAATCTCAAAAGATGTAGTCTGCTTCTGCCCTGAATAGAAATTACAAAAGTTGTTCAAAGTTGTTAATTTTGGGAAGTCCTGAGGAATGTTCTTGTAAAAGTTTCATCAGACACCATGACATTCAGCTTTTGGGCTGCCACACGTATTTATAGAGCTGCCTGTTGAAATATGTAACTGTGAGAGGAAGTGCTGAGGAACAGGGCACAGAGATTTCAGAATTCTTTTAAACTTGCACTTTGGACTGAATTCTAAAGCAAAGTTTTGCCCTTTTTTTGTAATAGAGACTGAACAGAGCATTCTTGTGAAAGAAGACCAAAGAGTTTGCTGCTGCCCTCCCTCCCTCATTACAAAACCTGCTAAATGCTGTGACTCCTGAGCATCTGATGGCACAGCTGAGGCTGTGCTGAGGCTGTCAACAGTCTGGGACCAAGGCTGTGGTAAAAGGACAGGGAGAAGTTCAGTTACAGTGGGTTTGCAGCAGACAAAGCTGCATTTGAAGGTCATGCTGAAGAGCTTTCCCTCTCGAGATTTCAGCTCGGAGTCCCCCTTGGCAGTTGTGTATTGGGCCTTTCTCAGCGTCTCTGGGACTGTTGTTTATTTGGCTCCGTGTGTTTGCTCTCTAACATGCTTTCTGGGTGGCAGCCAGGGTTTTGCATAGGAATTCTTAATATGGAACACTGTGCAGCACAGCAGGAGCAGCTGCCCTGAGGGCTGAAAGAGAAAGCAGATCAGCAATATAACTTAAAATATCAGCATATAGCTATACATCCAAAAATAATTTCTTTATCTCAGTTCCACTGATGGCTTTTGTGGCTCTTTGTGATAACCCAAGGCCCTGGGATCACATCAACTTTGTGTCAGCACTTGGAACAACAGTGCAGGTGCATTTGGAGTTTGCTTTGTAGGCTGAAACACTCCAGAATCACCATCTTCTGAAAAACAGTTAATTTTCTTTCTTCTAAAGGGCAGCACATTCTGCTCTTTCTATACCTGGATTGAGCTGCCAGCCGAATCTAACCAGCTTCTCTCTTCTGCTTCCTTGTGATTGTTTTTTTCCTGGATCTGAAATGTTGGGTTAGTGTAAAATAATTGATAATTCTATCCTTGCATTTTCCATTAGGCCAGAGTGAGTCTCCTTAAATAGCCCTGTTCTTTACCAGCAGCCCAGCTGTCTTTTCTGCCCCTGGAATAGTTCGGGCCATGACTTGGCAACCAGGCCTGTTCATCTTTTCCAGCCACTGAGATGTTTTTGTTGGTTGGAGAACAGCTTACAGGCAGCAGTGCTGTGGGCAAGCACATATGTGTTCCTAGCTTTCTGTTGCTTGTGGTTTTGTGTTTGATGATCCATATTCCCCACTGCAGTTTGCAGTGAAAAACCTACAACAGAAAAGGTTGGAATTGGAACACTTTGACCCACGCAGCCTCCAAACATTTCACCAGACGTCTTCCACTGGAGGCCCCTTAAAATTGCACATCCTCTCCCTGAAGCTCCCCAGCTTTTGGAGTTCCCTCTACAGTGAGATATATTTTTATGTTACTCCATCTCACAGTACAGTTTTTGTGCCTGTGCTTCAAATGATGCAGCAAAACTGTGGCTATCCTGTTCAGCTCTGGTAGAGTTCATAGATCCCTCTCTTAGCTGCACTTGAGAGAGAAAAAATGAAAGAAAAAAGGATAATTTCATCAAAGGACAATAGCTGGCAAATAGCTTTTTATCTTTTTGTCTGTGACACTGCACTGATCAAATGGAGAAAAGATCTGTGGAATTAAGGGAATTCCCTTGGATTGCTCATCCTTATGGAGTCTCCTGTACCAAGACTGGGAAATTTTTTACTGGGCAGGAAGGTCTGCAAGAGTCAGAAGGAAGTAAGATGCTTGTGGGAACCCAGGGTGTCAGCATTGCTGTCTCACAATTAATTGGTCCTTTCTAATTCCTTGTAGTATTTCTGGTCTTAATTTTAAGAATAACTGAAGCACAGCAGTACAGACCGAGTGCTGCAGAGTGCAAGCAGAGCATTTGTGAAGCAAAAACTGACGTGGGGACTTTTTAAGGATCAGTTCCAGATCCCCATTCTTCCATCTCTGCTTTTGGTGGACAAAGGGCAACAAACAGGACGAACTCTGTATTCCTCAGAAATGAAGTGCAGAGGGTCCCATCCCTGCCAGCACCAATAAAAGTGAAGTGTGTGTACTCAACAAAACCCCTCAGGAATGGTAACAAAACCTGATGAATGCAAACAAATCAGTCTGGGTGGCTCTTTCTCAGCCCTGAAATGTTGCTTCTCCTGCACAGCCAGAGCTCGCACCCCTCCTATGCGCAATTCTATTCTCTTTGTTTCAGTCTCATGATCCAGTCTATGGTCCAGGCATCCATTAGGGCCAAAATAGCTGTGGACAAAAGTTCTAGGGTGATAGTGGCTTTTTCTTGGGGTCAGTGAGAGCAGGAGTGATGCTGCTGGCTTTGAAAGGTACGTGGATGGAGCGTGCCTTAGGATATGAAGTCATGTCTGGAGCTGAAGGATATTAGTAGCTTTTCTCCATAGCAGTGGATGCCCATACAAACAGGAGCTGGCTGGAGTTCCATCCATGTGAACTGCAGTTCTCTGCTCCTGCCTCTCTTCATTCAAGTTCTATTCATGTCTTCTGGAGTCAACAGGATTTTCTCTGCTATATCCACCACCTCTCAGACTCTACCAGCCTTCAAAATGAGAGCTGTTGGCAACGCAGCCCCTGTGTAGAGCAACCACAAGACCATTAAATGATCCTGCCATCATGTATTGGATAGGCTTTTAGTCTGTACTTAAGACTTAAGCAATGAAATTTCCTTTCTTCCTATCATCTATGTGCAGCTCTCTTTTTCTGTCGCTCAGGAAGAGTGGTTTAGAAAAGGCTGATAAGTGGCCCTGAGTGGAAAACGGAAGCTGCTGCCCTGGAAATTCACTTTAAAAATATGACACCACCCCTACCACCCCCTGAGAAAACCTTACTAAAAATGAAAGTTGTTCCAAAGTCTTCGGTCTCTGTTGTGCATCACAAAACCTTGCAGCAGTTCCTAAGAGTTAGCATTCCCCCTGACAGAGTAAAGGCAAGAATAAAGGCGATTCTGACCAAACGAGTGAATTTAGCCTAATGTGACAATCTCTCCATCTGCCTCAGGGTGATTGCTGCATATTTGCAAGATGCTGAGGTTCAGGAGGCTTTTTTTCTTTAATCACTTAAACATGATAATGCACTTTTTGCCCATTAAATTGTCCTCTTGGGTGGCTTCTCCCACCCTCCTCTCCCTGCTGTAGCTGTGTAAAAGTCAGCCAGTCCCACCCCACAGCCGAGCCCACAGTTACCCCATTTCCTTCTCCTCCCTCGAGGCAGCTGGAAGCCACCCTGGTTCCTGCTCCCTGCTGGCACAGCTGTGACTGCTGAGCCCTGCCAGCCCCGAGTGCCCGGGATACCCTGAGCCCCCTCGGGGAGCATCCAGGCTCCAGGAGTCCTG